TCTCATGGTTCTTTGATGGCCTTTTTTACTGTTCTCCACAGTGAGGTGCATGGGCAAAGTAATCCATTGGAATGTGGGAATCAGATATTAGAACTTCAATTTATATGTTTTATTTCATCTTTCAAAAATTTCTATCTTAATGTATGATTTATAAGGTATATTATTGCAGTAGAACATAAATTATACACATACATATTGAGTTGTGCTCAAAATAATGTTTTGCAATCACTACTTTAGACTGTGGGAAGGAAGTCAAAATCAATACAGGTGCAAAGTCTTTTTCCCAGAATATGAAAGCAGTGACCCAACCAGCTTGTCAGACTTTCAAACTGTCAAATTTCCAGGATTCCAGGCCATAACATATCTTCTAGCTACACTGTTGAATGAATGTGATTTCAACACAGACTAATAGATAATTGATCAATTATATTTTGAAAAAGCAAAAAGCACAAGCTTGAACTATTTCAGATATCTATGAAGTTTTCTTTTTCCAAGACCGTTCACAGCAGTGGTTCTTAACAAGAGCTGAGTATCTAAATTACCTGAGTTTTTAAACACAGACATGATTAAGGCACACCCAGAGGTTCTGCTCATAGGTCCAGAAGTTCTCAGGAATGTTTCTAGTTTTTTAAATTCCAAGTTAATTCTGATGTTCACCTCAAGTTGAGAACCACTGGAATAGATATTTTTATTACTCAGTGTGTTTCTCAAGTCAGTAGTTATCTTATGATGAATATCTTTCTTAAGTCAGTAGTTATCTTATGATGAATATGGACTAAGCTTTGTCCTGGATAATAAAGCTTCACTTAGGGAATGAAAATATATTTGGCTCAAACATTAATATATTTGACCATTTTGACTTATTTGGTTTTGTTTACTAATTTGATGGTTTATAGAAGTCAAAAAACAAGCTGTAGAGCACATGGATATATAAGTACAATCTCAGAATTAAGAATGGTCACAACTTACTGTCCTTGCTAACTAATAAGGAAGTAAAATATTAAAAATAAATCATAGCATGTATACCCTTGGTAGACAATTTGGTGTTACCAAATCAAGTGGGCACCTTCCAAATGGAAAATATCATGGACCAATTTTCCTTGTGTGTAAGAAAAATTCAAATTCTAGATCAAAACTTAAATGGGCCACTTTCACATATCATTAGTGGTTTGATTTCATTTAAGTACTGAGAACATTAAAAAGTTGTGGGATATGGGCCTGCCGAGTGGCTCAGTTGGTTAAGAGCTCGCTCAAGAGATTGAGCTCTGAGCAACAGGGTCCCCGGTTTGATTCACGGCCCAAGCTGAGCTGCCGCTGAGCTTCCAAAAGGTGGCAGGATGACTCAGCTAAAAAAAAAAATCTTTAAAATAAATAAATAAATAAATAAAAAGTGGGTTTTCTTCAGAACTTATTTGGTGAATTTAGAAAATATGTGAGCTTATTAGTGTTTTAGACTTATTCATTGGAAAACTGGAGGGACACTCATTTGATTTACTGTTCTATATAATTCAATAAGATATTTCATATATTTTAGAATGTCAAATTATTTTTATTGTTATTTCAGCTTTCTTTCCACTGTTTATTTTTGTTCAAATTTCTGGTGAAAATACACTTTTATTCATCTGTAACTTGGTTTAGGGGAAGGGAACTGTGATGCAAATTATAAGTAGACATTTTTAGATAATGGAGTTCAGAGAATGTATAAGATTTCTCAAAGTTTTACTGTTGAAGTCTTATTAATAATAAGTATTATTATTTTTATACAACACAGTACAAATTCAATTAAAGCATTATTTTCTTTTCTTTTAACAGACAAGAAGTAAACATCAGAACATATGAAAATTCCATACCAAGTAAAAATTTAGTCTTTGGA